CAGAATTAATACCCTTGATGGTAGTTTGCTTACAGTAGAGACCAGTTTCATTACAATAAAGAATTTAACCTATGGTATAGTGCAGTCTTTAGCAATCAAAAATTTTCTTACTTAAATGCAGGAGGGTAATATGTACTCTTACCTTCACTGTATAAGATGGCCAGAAAGTGCCCTTCCAAACATTATACTACTCATGATTTACTGGCCAGAAGAGATCCAGCATAGTGGTTCATGAATGTACTAAACCAGCCACTTCTTGCATTTAAAGAAGGTACAGCAATAGAATGTTTAGCTTTTTTAAAAAATTAAGGTCTTCTTGTCAGTATTACTAAGGATTTCTTTTTAATTGCGAAAAAGCTCGCTCCTGATCAAATGTGAACTTGCAGGGGGAAATCTTGTGTACATCTACATGACTTCTGTGTTATTCTGATAGTTTCCTTATTTACTAATAGCATTTGAATGAATTCACATTAGAGAAAAGTGCTTTGTAGCAAAACAGACTAAGAGACTGCTTTAGTGAGAGAACCTCATCTTTAGTCTCTATTAAAAATCTATTTTATTGACTGCCATCTTCATCAATTAGAAGGCTTTATCAGTGGTTGTAAAGGCCAAATCTTTGCTTGATTCTTGCCTCAACATTGAATTCTAATCAGTGATTGGAATGCAAACCTTCTCAGTTTTATATTAAGCACTTGCCTCTTCTAACCCTGCAAATCCCTGACTTTCTGGGCTCTTATATCTGATTATAAATAGATCAGTTCTCTTCTGAATGCATCCTTTTCATGTAATAATTTGTTAAATATAGCCAAAGTAACCAACACATTCTCTTAATAGTTCACATTCCCACTTGAGCTATAAATTCTTGTAGTGTATTATCTAGCTTCTGAGATAATTAGGTGATAGTTTTACCAATAATTTCACCACTTCATAACTCAGTTTGCCTTCCTTTTAGCCTTCAATAGCTTTTGCTTCCTTCCACCCAGTTCTTAAGCCTTTGTCAAATATTTTAGGATTTTTGATGAGATACACCCCTCTTCAGGGTTTTACTTATATCAATTAGGATAGGCCAGATTGTGCTGCAGTAGTAAGCAACATGTATCTCAGCAACTTTAAAAAACATAGTCTATGTAAAATTAAATAATAAAAAAATTTTAAATCCACTGAACTATGCATATTCTGTAGGTCAGTTTAGTCACCCAGGCACCCAGGTTGATGGTGACAGCTGTCATCACAGGGAAGATTTGCTGGTCCCTATGGTAGAGGAAAAAGAAGTCTGCAGGGTCTTGTGTTGGTCAGAAAATGCCCTTCCAAACATCACTTCTACTCATGAGTTACTGGCCAGAAGTAGTTACAAGGTCCCAGCTCATTTCAGGGAGGGCTAGAAAGTGCAATCCTACCACATGCAAGGACCAGAAAGATTTGGGAAGAACACATTAATAATGCTTACAATGAGGATTTCTTTTCTTTTTCTTTGTCTTTCTGCTATTTTAATTTTTAGCTTTTGCTGGTTCACTGAATTTTACTCTCTCTCTCTTCCCTTCCTTATTTTGAGATAAATTTATTTACCTTATTTCCATGGGTCAGAATTTTGACATATACAAATTAAAGCTACTAAAATTTTCTTACTTAAAATACAAGTTTTGAAACTTTGATCCAAAAAGACATGTGGTTACAGGAGTAACTGAGTTTAAATTATTTTGAAATGTCATTTATCATAGGACAAATACAAAGACCTTGAGCTTTGAAGTCAGGCAGCAGGTCTGGGGTCAAACATTGCCTGTAATTTAATAAGTACATGCTCTTTTTTTTTTTTTTTTTTTAATAGAGGCATGCTTTATTTATTTGTTTGCTGGTTTGTTTTGTTTATACATGCACTGGGTACAGTCAGAAGCGTGGGAGGGTGAGAGAATTCACCAGAGCCAGAGCGGGGAGCAGAGCAGGCAGAAGGACCGAAGTACACTGCTGAGGGGAGCAGCGGGCGGCAGGAGAGGTCTGCGCGCCATGTGGGACCCTCCTCAGGTGGCCGGGGAGCAGCCGGGGATCGAACCGGCGCCGCAGAGGCCGCGGGCAGCTTCACAACCCAGCGCTCAACCGCTGCGCCACCGGGGAGGCCCTAAGTACATGCTCTTAAACCAATTACTTAGCTTCTTAGAGGCATAACTTCATCGTGTGTAATAAAATATATATATATTTATTTAGGTGCCAGGGAAAACATGGTTGTCGTTTATCCACCACTCCTTTCTGAAATTCCACTAAAATGAAAATAAAATAATTTTTTAAGGGCCTCCCCAGTGGCGCAGCGGTTGAGCGCTGGGTTGCGAAGCTGCCCGCAGCCTCTTAAGCGCAGGTTCGATCCCCGGCTGCTCCCCGGCCACCGGAAGAGGGTCCCACATGGCGCGCAGACCTCTCCTGCCGCCCGCTGCTCCCCTCAGCAGTGTACTTCGGTCCTTCTGCCTGCTCTGCTCCCCGCTCTGGTGAATTCTCTCACCCTCCTGCGCTTCTGACTGTACCCAGTGCATGTACAAACAAACAAACAAACAAACAAATAAATAAATATACATGCCTCTTTTAAAAAAAAAAAAAATAATAATTTTTTAAAAGGACAAAGAAAAGAGAAGGCAATAGCAGAGGATGATAGAAATAGCTGTGACTACAGATTGTAGTCATAACACAAGCAGTAAATACTGTAAACAAAAAGTTATGCTAGGAACATACCGAGAGGATGAATGGAGAATTGGGACAAAGAGGTAAGACAGCTAGTGAGAGAAAGTGGAAATGTCTCAAAACTGAAAAAGTCAAGGAATAGAAAGATCATATACTTTAGAAATATAAAAGTGGGGGCCTCCCTGGTGGCACAAGGGGTTTTGACTCAACCTGTGAAGCTATCCGAAGCCTTTGCAGCACAAGTTCAATCCCCCACCAGCCAGAGAGCAACCCACATGGCGCAGCAGACCTCTCCTGCCTCGCCTGCTGCTCCCCTCAGCAGTGTACTTCGGTCAATCTGCCCGTTCTGTTTCCCACTCTGTCTCTGGTGAATCCTCTCACCCCCCGCACCTCTGGCCAGTATCCCAGCTCTTGTATGCATAAAATAAATAAATCTTAAAAAAATATATATAAATGAATATGTAGGGGACAGCTAAAACAGTTAAACATTTTGTCTACTGTATGGGATAGGTTAGGCAGAAGATTGCTGCTTTTTGTTATAAACCTTGCAGTGTATTTGACTTACAAAGCTATACTTTTTTTTTTCCAGTGATGAGTTTGATAAAATTTAAAATAGGTATAAAATCTACCCCAATGTTTTGTGGTAGATATTAATTAGGAACAATAAATAGCAAGCACCTTTACAGTCACAGGTATTCAATACTAATTTCCTTCCTTTTGTTAACCAGACAGGTTGTGTGCTTGCAGTTTTATATGACTCAGAGGTTAGGTGGTTGGCTAAACAGCAATGTGAGGTATGTCACAAAGCAAATTATGTGCTCTTCTAATCTTTTTTTTTTTTTTTTAATGGATGGTTCTATTTTTCTTGGAAACTTATCATCTGGTGGTTACTTTTTCTTAGAATTCTTATTTTAGACTTCTGTAAAATTGGCACATGAAAAATCCCCCGATTTTTGAGTGGCTCTATCAGTAGTTAGCTATGCATAGAACAAATTTAGTAATACTTAGCAACTTTGAAATTCCTGTAATAAGCCTGAAAGCAGTAATACCTATACTGATGTCTATGCCTAGTTTATAAATTTTTTTGAAATTTTTTTAATAGAGGCATTTTTTTTATTTGTTTGTTTGTTTGTTTGTTTTGTTTATACATGCTCTGGGTACAGTCAGAAGCGCGGGAGGGTGAGCGAATCCACCAGAGCCAGAGCGGGGAGCAGAGCAGGCAGAAGGACCGAAGTACACTGCTGAGGGGAGCAGCGGGCGGCAGGAGAGGTCTGCGCGCCATGTGGGACCCTCCTCCGGTGGCCGGGGAGCAGCCGGGGATCGAACTGGCACCGCAGAGGCCGGGGGCAGCTTCGCAACCCAGTGCTCAACCGCTGCGCCACCGGGGAGGCCCTAGTTTATAAATTTTTAAACAGAGATATTGTCTCTCTCTTCTATGGTTATATCAACTCACTGCTTTATTTTCCTGGTCCAGGTGCCTACCTCACTACCACCTTAGTTCTGTGAGCTGTCGCTATGGTGGATGGTAGACTGATACTGAAAAGCAAGCCCGACAGTATAAACTTTCTTATGTTTCAGTATAATGCAAGCTGTATAACTAGGCTGTCAACTCCTTGTGGACAGAAACCGTGTATCCTGCCATTTCCGTGTGTCCCATAGTATCAGGGATGATGAATCTGTGTCACTTCATCATCAAATATATACCAAACACCTGCTCAGTGCTAGGCACAGTTCTGAGTCTTGTCTCGGTGAACTAGACTCTTACTTGTCTTAGAATTTACATTCTAGGGCCTCCCCGGTGGCGCAACGGTTGAGCACTGGGCTGCGAAGCTGCGCACGGCCTCTGCAGCGCCAGTTCGATCCCCGGCTTCTCCCCGGCCACCGGAGGCGGGTCCCACATGGCGCGCAGACCTCTCCTGCCGCCCACTGCTCCCCTCAGCAGTGTACTTAGGTCCTTCTGCCTGCTCTGCTCCCCGCTCTGGCTCTGGTGAATTCTCTCATCCTCCCGCGCTTCTGACTGTACCCAGTGCTTGTATAAATAAATAGATAGATAGATAGATAGATAGATAGATAGATAGATAGATAGATAGATAGATAGATAGATAGATAGATAAATAAATGTTTAAAAAAAAAAGAATTTACATTCTAACAAAATGTTTGTTGAATTAATGTTAACTCAGTAAAATAATGGTCCCACTGACCCATTAAACAGGATAAAGAGCTATATATAAAAAGAATTTAGTCATTTAAGCTGTTTGTTGTGTAATGTAGATGCACAATATAAGAAGGAAATATTGGTATCTGACCTTTTTTTTCCTCTTTGCTTTTCTTTATAGATAAGATGCTCCAAGCCACTTGCAGCTCTCTTCAGAAGAAAAATCACTAGTGCTCTGCTCTTGCCATAATACCAAACCTTCTTGACTTCTGCTTTGGTGCTGCAACACTGGAAGAATTGCACACAGGTTCCAGGAATACCCTTTTTCATTTGAGTGATTCTTTGTGGATGGAAAAAGATTTGAGTCTGAGTAGTTGTCCTGTTTCAAAGCTATTTCTCTGTAGTGTGAACTGCTTAATAAATTGGGCCACTTACCAATGAGTCACACAGCCAGTTCATGTCAGGAGCTGGTTGAAAACTGTGCTGTGCATGTAGCGGGGATGGCACAAGAAGACAACCGTCGTGGTCAAGTGCCATCTCCCTTTTATCATGGTGCCAACCAAGAACTTGACCTGTCCACCAAAGTGTACAAAAGGGAGTCAGGCAGTCCTTATTCTGTGTTAGTGGACTCCAAGATGAGCAAACCGCATCTCCATGAAACAGAGGAACAGCCATATTTCAGGGAGACAAGAGCAGTGTCTGATGTTCATGCTGTTAAAGAAGACCGGGAGAATTCTGATGACACAGAAGAGGAGGAGGAGGAAGTCTCTTACAAAAGGGAGCAGATCATAGTGGAGGTAAACCTTAATAATCAAACATTAAATGTCTCTAAAGGGGAAAAGGGTGTCTCTTCTCAGTCCAAAGAGACTCCTGTTCTTAAGACGAGCAGTGAGGAGGAAGAGGAAGAGAGCGAGGAGGAGGCCACGGATGACAGCAACGACTATGGAGAGAATGAAAGGCAGAAGAAAAAGGAGAAGATAGCGGAGAAAGTCAGCGTCACACAAAGGAGAACCAGACGAGCTGCCTCTGTGGCTGCAGCTGCCACTTCCCCCTCTCCCAGGACGACCAGAGGCCGTAGGAAGAGTGTAGAGCCACCTAAGCGTAAGAAGCGGGCCACGAAGGAGCCCAAAGCGCCAGTCCAGAAAGCTAAGTGTGAAGAGAAAGAGACTCTGACCTGTGAGAAGTGCCCCAGGGTGTTTAATACTCGCTGGTACCTGGAGAAGCACATGAACGTTACTCATAGGCGCATGCAGATTTGTGATAAGTGTGGCAAGAAGTTTGTCCTGGAAAGTGAGCTGTCCCTTCACCAGCAAACAGACTGTGAAAAAAATATTCAGGTAGGTTTTAATCACCGAGAGGGCAAACTATCCAGGATAGAACCTGGCTATTCAGACTCAACCTGGTATCTGCCCAAGAGAATAAATACAGTAGAGGCTGAAGGGACAGATTTCACCAATTTATCTTTTTTAAAGTTCCTGCTTTGGTCTTTTCAAACCCAGGCTTAACATGTTATTTCAAAAGTATTAATTTTAACTGCTGCTGGACTAGTGGGAGCCCAGGTACCTTGGAAGGGGGATCTATTATTAGTGATTGACCAGGAGGTAAAGTCAGCACTGACTTGGCTCTGAGATTCACTGTTAGAGGACACGTGATATTATTCATTCTGGCATCTTCTCTCTTAATGTGGGACATTTTGAGTAAAAGTCAGGAGTAGAGAGAGGTCCCTTTCTAGCTTTAAAATGATGCCAGATTCTAGTGCAGCGATGGGGACAAAAGCCATAATGACTCAGACCGGTGGAAATGGAAGATCTCCAAGAGTGAGTTTGCTTTTACCAGTGGAGAGATGACAACACTAAATTTGTCAAGAGGCTGAGCCCGTGGGAATATGCAAACGTTAACAGAGGCTGAGCTGGTTGGAAATGTTGCCCACCTGACAGTAGAGTTACGCTGTGCTACTGTACAGTATCGTTAAGGTAACGAAACATGGTATTCAAACCAGGCTGGTGTCGAGAGGATTGTGTTGTGATAGGTTAAGTGGTGTACTAATTATAATTGTTTTGTTGAGTGGATTGTATTGTATTGTCCTATATTGGTTCACACTTGTAAAGGCATATTAATAAATATTCATAACAAGTAAGTCAATGTCTCCATGAGATAATGTAAAATAGAACTCTTTTATACCATATTTAAACTGAACTTCCTTTAAAAGCTGAATTTGTTTTGGTTGGTTTGTTGGAGTGCTCCTTATTTTTCACTTTTCCTCTTGCTTTTAATCAACAACTGAAATCTTTGCTTTAAAGAATTTCTTAAAAATGTCACACTTGCAAAAAATGCACTACTTTTTGATTTATTAGTTGTAACTTGACCTCTGACATGCTGAGTAACTCAAAAGCTGCTCGTGGAGCCCATGCCATCCACTTGCTTGGTTATGGATTGGTTGCAACAGCCCAGGCAGAAGGAAGCGTGGTGTGGTGCTGCACCCTAGGGGTCAGACTTAGGTTCTGTCATACTTCATTGAAAAAATGGATCTGGATCTGAATCTTTATACATTTTTTAAACTTGCTTTGTTAAGTTACAGGAAAGGAGGCATTTAATAATTCTTTCTGATTTTCCTTACTATTCCCTACCATGGTATGTTTAAACTTGTGTTTAGATTTTGTGGATTCTGCTAAATGAACTCTCTTTACATTCCTGATGTTCTTGGTTCTTAACATATAGATCCTCACAATACTGATGACCTAGTAACAAGTGCAAATTAAAACCCTGCCCTACACAATGACTTAATCGGAATGGTTTGTCCTTGTCTCAAACAATGTCCAACCAGAGACTTACCTTTTTTATTTTCCTCAAAGTGTTATTTCCCAAAGTGACAATAATGTTCAGAGATATTTATTTACAGTGGATACCAAATTGTTCCCTTCAGTATCCCAGAATTTGATGGTTATCTAGAACTTTCTAGTATTATTTTGCTTTAACCAGAAATATTTTATTTGATACACTTTTTGCCTGATATCCTGGGCCACTAATGATTTATAATACAAGGAGAACTAGGCCATGTTGTATGTGCTTCCTACAGATGCATATAAGAGAGTTCCGGAACTGGGCAACAAGGAGAAAGGAAAGTAATACTAACAATTTAGTGATTCTATTAAACTCTGCCAGAGGGAAATGTTTGATACAGTAATCTGTATTTGGAAAATAAAATAAAATCTCAATAATTTGTTGATGAAGACTCCAAATGCGTTCTCTAAGGTATAAAGCATTTTTTATACTTCCACAGATCTATACCCATTAATATATGTTTTGTTGAGTGTGTGTGCTTTAGTAAACACCTATTAACTGTGTAATGACCTGTGTATTGGTAATCTACATATTTTTTTAAAACTTGAGGTTCTATTTATAGGTACAGTACTAGATAAAAGCAGTCAATTATTGGGTATTAGTAGAACTTTCCATTTCTTCTTATCTTTTTGCTATTGATTTCATGCTCCCAAATTATTTCTAAAAGATTCATCTTGGAAAGTAAAACATACACGTGTTGGTGTTGGAATCTGAGCTGCATGGAGGAATAGTAGTTGATTGGATTTTGGTTTTGTGCCATGAGTGTAAAGCACACCCATCTCATCTGCCAATGGGCAGGTATGGCATTCTGCAAGCCCCTACAAATAAAGATTATTTTTATTTATCCTGCTCAGTGTGTTTCCTGTAATAAATCATTCAAGAAACTCTGGTCCCTTCATGAACACATCAAGATCGTTCATGGATATGCAGAAAAGAAATTTTCCTGTGAAATCTGTGAGAAGAAATTCTATACCATGGCTCATGTGCGGAAACACATGGTTGGTAAGTTTTTTCTGCTGCTTTTGACATCTGTAATTTTCCCTTATTCTTTATGTGTTTTATGCTCTGGATTGGTGGGGATATAAGGGACTGCCTCACTTTAATCAGGTTTGACTTGTTGAAACTAAATGCAACACATGCCTTCAGTAAGCATCACCAAATTGCATGGTATCGTCTTCCACACCCAGGTTTCTTTTCAACATTGGTATTTATTTTTCTCTTCAGAAAGTTGCTATTAAAACCTTACAAATTGAAGTATTGAAAATTACGATAGCATAATTACCATACAGTAAGGCATCTAACTTTATAGTTTTGAACTTTTTGGCTCTTATTTTGAATATCAGTGTATTCATGTTGCAGCACACACGAAAGACATGCCATTTACATGTGAAACCTGTGGAAAATCATTCAAACGCAGTATGTCTCTCAAGGTGCACTCCTTGCAGCATTCTGGAGAGAAGCCCTTCAGATGCGAGGTAAGGAATGTGTGACCTCCCCCCCACCCCAGGCCCAACCTAGGGACTTGTTTTCGTGTGGGGGGACACAGTAAAAGGTGTGCTGCGCCATTGGGTGCAGACTGCATTTCCACAGACCCTGCGGACACCTCACTGCTAGGTGGAGAAGTGTGGTTTATAACACAGGTTTTGAGTATGAAAAGTAAGTCTAATCTCAGACGGTGTAGGGTGGGGTCAAGTAAAGCTACTGCCTTGGCATTCAAAACTCTCCACTGTGTCCAATGCAGAACTGTGACGAGAGGTTTCAGTACAAGTACCAGCTACGGTCCCACATGAGCATCCACATTGGGCACAAACAGTTCATGTGCCAGTGGTGTGGCAAGGACTTCAACATGAAGCAGTACTTCGACGAACACATGAAAACACACACTGGTAAGGATTTGGGGGAAAGGTCAGATGTGTTTTAAGTACTTGTTTGTTGATGACCTGTGTTTATTTAAAAATAATCCAAAAATTTGCATTCTGAATGAAAATTCTACTTTAAGTAAAACTGATATACAAAAAACAGATTTATAATACTGAAAAATTAGACTTTTAGAATTATTTATTTCAAAAAGGATTATTTGTTAGTGCCTTTAAACTTTGGGTTCCTTCAAGACAATGCCTGCCTTACATGTGTTTGTTTTTCTAAGGAAAGTGTTCTGTACCTTTAAAAAATGGAGAATACTGACCTCCGTAATTTGAACATTCTCTCAATATTTTTAAATTTTTATTGAATTTGATTTACCAAAATTCATTACTTTTGAGGTACATGTCCGCTAAATGAAGCCAGTTTTTTAGCCACTTTGTGGCTTTGGAGGCATGTGCTCCACAGCACAGATTTGTAAGCATTTGATTTTCCCCTCTATAAACACTGTCATTGTATCTCAGTCCTCATTTGCCCTCCTGGGATCAGCTGTCTTTGCACAAATTGGGTAGTATGAAGCAATTTTTAGGTTTCTAAATAAAAGTCAATCATAGGATTCTAGGTTCTATTAGGCTACAGAGTAGCAGAACCAGAAAGAATCACGAGAGATTATCTTGCTTAGCGTGCTGTTCTTTTTTTTTAACTAATGGTGAGGAAATCCTGCTTATGACTGGAAACTCTCTAATTCCCATTTCTGTGGTGAAGTCCAGAGGAAAATGCCTGTCTGGTGTACTTCTTCCCAACTCAGAGCAGAACACCTTCAGATGTTAAGGACTAGGTTAGATGAGGAGTTTAAATAAATGACACATCAAAAGGTAATTATAACCTTGAAACCCAAATGGATACATCAAAATAGCAGGTTACATCAAGTATAACAAATTTGGTCTTCCCTGGTGGCACAAGGGTTAAAGTTTCAGCACTATCAAACTATCGCCAGTCACAGTGAAGTGAGTTCAATCCCCAGCCAGGAAGCTGACCCACATGGCACAGCTGACCTCGCCTGTCTGGTCCACTGCTCCCCTCAGCAGTTTATTTCAGTAGATCTACCTTTCAGTTCTAGTATGCATAAATAAAAAAATATATATCTTTTAAAAAAAAGAAATATGAAAATTGAAAACAAAATAAGAATGATCATTTGTCACTGAGAGATTACTACTGTTAACATTTTGGCATGCACCCATTTAAAAAAAAATTCTTCAGTTTCTTAATAATGTATGGATATATAGTGTATACAGGTGTTTTTGTGTACATGTATTTAGAAAAATAACTAAAACAAATTCCTTATACTCTATTATAACCTGCTTTTTATTTTACTATATGTCATTCATAGTCCCTCTGAGTTTTCTGCCGTTACAGGTAATAATTGACCAGCAATTTTGTGATGGACATACCTATGATTATTTACTTAGGATAAAGTCCTAGAAATGGGATTATTAGGACAAAGGGACATACTCATTTTTAAGACTTGATGTTTGTTTTTTTAATAGTTTTTTTTTTTTTTAAAGATTTATTTATGCGTACCAGAGCTGGGGCACAGGCCAGAGATGCCGGGGGTGAAAGGATTCACCAGAGGCAGAGTGGGGAACAGAACAGGTAGACTAACTGAAATACACTGCTGAGGGGAGCCGCGGGCAAGACAGGAGAGATCTGCTGTGCCATGTGGGTTGCTCCCTGGTGGCCCGGGGATGGAACTCATGCTGCAGAGGTTTCAGATTGCTTCATAGTGCGGTGCTTAAGCCCTTGTGCCACCAGGGAGGCCCTAAGACTTGATGTTTTGCAGAGTAGCCTTCCACACACTTATAAACTATGTATGAAAATACTCATTTCCTCCACCCTTTCCAATATTAAATAAAATCTTTGCTGATTTGATAGGCAAAATGGTTGCTTATTGTATATATTTGCAGTTAATTGCTAAGAATAGTGAACAATTTTTCATATGCTTATTTGGTAATTCTTTTCTGAATTACATGTGCCTTTCTGTGTTCATCTTTCCATTACAGTGTTTCTTCTTCTTCACAGTTTATAATAGTTCTTTATATATTAAGCATACTGGGCCTTATTTTAGCAAGGATATTAAAATACTTTCCCCTGGGTAGTCATCTGACTTTTAATATTATTTGTAATATTCAATTTGGGAAAGCAACTAGATGGTGAAGTTGGACAAACCAGGATCTGCCACTCACTAGCAGTGTGCCCTTCTGTGAATTATGCAACCTCTATAGTCCTCTGGTTCCTTGGTATTAAATGACATTAGTGTCTGAGAAGATTCAAGGGTTAGCTTTAAAGAACAAAAAGGTACCTCTCTGAAAGCTGGATGAAACCACATTTGGATGTTTTAGTACGGGATTAAGGCCATTACAAGAACCCACATTGATTGGTAGATCTTATCTACCAATAAGGGGCAGATCTTATCTAGGAAAGCTGACCAACCTTCAGCAGCATTTCCTAGGATGGTATGAATTTGGGGTGAGTTCTACACAGAATAATGGCTGATTTTCCTTGTACCAGGCATAGTGCTAAGTCTCTAGGGACACAGAATGGATTAAAACCTGGTTTTTGCCTTCAAGGGGCATTGTAGGGTGAGTCGGGCCAGGGTTTTTCAAGTCCAATACTAAAAAGCAAGCTACATGTTAAGGCTTACAGGCAAGCAAATATGAAGAGACATACTTGCTCCTCAGGACATTTTTAGCAAAATCTTTGGTTGAATGTCAGAAATCTCTTACAGGTAAACTTGCCTACACTTAGAGGCAGAGATGGCCTGTGCTGTGGGTTCCCTTGAGCGTTGGGAAATCCATTCAGCACTTCTTCAGCAAGCTTGTGGAAGATGCCACCGCCTTCTCTCTCTCTCTCTTTCTCTCTCTCTCTCTCTCTCTCTCTTTCTCTCTCTTTTCAGCCAAGCCCAGATAGCCAGTTGTATGTGAGTTTTTACTTGTATCTGCTCTTATTTGCTAAGTCCCAATTTTGGGAGACTCTTCTATGACTCTTAGAATACAGTGTGCCATCAAAGAGAGGAGTGATCATCTCCTTTTTCAACATGAGGATGTACATGAGCATATAATTACCGTCAAGTATGTTAATCATTTTTTTGTGTTTATGTTCATCTCAGGAGAGAAACCCTTTATCTGTGAAATCTGTGGCAAAAGCTTCACCAGCCGCCCCAACATGAAGAGGCACCGCAGAACTCACACAGGGGAGAAGCCCTATCCATGTGATGTGTGTGGCCAGCGGTTCCGCTTCTCCAACATGCTTAAGGCCCACAAGGAGAAGTGCTTTCGGGTGACCAGTCCTGTGAATGTGCCGCCTGCTGTGCAGATCCCACTTACAACTTCCCCTGCCACCCCAGTTCCTTCTATGGTGAACACACCCACAACCCCAACCCCTCCAATCAACATGAATCCTGTAAGCACGCTTCCTCCTCGGCCCATCCCCCACCCCTTCTCACACCTTCACATCCACCCACACCCACACCACCCACACCACCTTCCTATCCCTCCAGTCCCTCACCTGCCTCCACCTCCCGCTCTCTTTAAGAGCGAGCCTTTAAATCACAGAGGCCAGGGTGAGGACAACTTTCTGCGGCACCTGGCAGAGAAGAACAGTTCAGCACAGCATCATTAACATCCACCTCCTTAAGTGTGTTCTCCACGAGTTACGTTCCCATAGATGAGTTTGCAGAGAGGGAGTTGGTGAGCATTTCTGTAGCTGTCAGACTCTCCTCAGTCTCCACCAAGAGCTTTGTCATTGTCTTGGTGAATCAACAGATCCAAGGGAATGAACAAGAAGACCATCTTGACTCACAGAGGGAACTGTCATCTAAACCAGGGGAACCACCGAATTAAAGCCCAATTTGCTTGCATTTTCTGGTGACTTTTATAAATTTCAAATACTCAGACTTGTGGAGTTTTATAATTTCATATCAGCTGATGAGGTATGCTTGCTTTTATATCCTGGACTTCTCCTCAAAGAGGGGATAGGCCTGGTTTCCTTTGTACTAATCGGGAAGGCTGTGAGATTAATCCAGAGCATTAATTGTATCACTGTGTATCATAATGAATTCTTTTCAGCTTTTGGTGCTGGCTGCAGAGTCGAGCTAGCCATGTTTCACAGTATATCAAGCATTATAGAAAAAGATGAAATTTTTCTTCTTTGTGTAGCTCTCCTAACAACGCACTCTTTATTTTACTACAGAAATTATTTTAGAGTTTTTGTATAGACTTCTTTAGTAGTCTGTTTCTAAAATGAAATGTATTTCAATAAGCGGTGTAATTTTTTCAGTGTAGCTGGACCTATGTTGTAAAATAGAAAAATTTTTTATAATCATCAAAATGTGATTCTTAAAGATGCATATAACTTCTATAGTTCAAAGTTATTCTTACATCCGTACAACTCGAAGGTGCTTCAGAGACTAGATGAATCTGAGAGGGTCTCTAGACAGGTTACTGCAGGAATGGGGTTTTGCTTTCAGAACTTGGTATAAGTTCTTGGTAGTTTTATAATCTCTACTAACACTCAGATGTCTGTCTGGCCCACTGATGTGCTCTTGCCCTCCACGTTGCCCTCGGTTTAGTTTGTGCATTCAGCAGAGTAATTTGCAGAGGGCTGGGCCTTTTCCAGGGTGTCACCTAAAGCTTGCAGGTTTTAAAAATCAGTGAAGTTGTTCATGGTCAAGAGGAGGAAGTAATGAGGACTATTTCATCTCAGGCAGGTGTATTTCTCACTTGCATAGAACTGTGCTCATGTCCAACCTTTTATGGGATAACAAATTGAAGTCTCATAATACACTGCTCATTTTCATGTTCTTTTCTGTTTCTGGAATTGCTGTTAAAAAGATAAAGTAGTTCACTGAAATCACAAACGTGGTGCTGACGGTGGCTGAGAATACAGATTGATTATGATTTTTTAAGTGTCTATTGTATCCCTGGATATAGCCTCAACCTTGAGCTATTTTAACACAGTTTAAATTTAGTGGAGGAAAGGAATTTCTAAGTTTTGCTGCCCTGTCCTCTGCAAATTCTTATGTGATAACAGTGTTTGTAAGTAGAGCCGCACCTGTGATGCTTTGTAGGTAGGTTACTTTTTCAAGTTTGGGGAACTTCAAAAGAGCATGGTCAATCAGGAACTTATAGGAAAGACTCAACAGAAGGGCTAATATATAATCACTCTAACCAACAACACATTGGTTATCTTTAACAGATCAAATTTATCCAGATTGAATATATCTAAAATTTTTGTATTTTTTCATCTCGGAGAACTGGTTCCAAAGTTAGCCAGTGTGCTCTTGCTCTCTCTTTTTTCTCGCCTTCTCTTCACTTTTCTTTCCTCAGTCTCTTAAGTCATTGCCTGAATCAGAATGCAGGTGTTTATTTTTATTCTTGATATTAAATGTGCAGATACGCTTCAAGCACTTTCTGACTAATAGGCTCTGTGGCAGGAAAAAGTGGAACTCATTCAGTTGAGGTTAAATCTCTCAAAGTATCACATTCTCTGTTACTTTTTCGGTTTAATATTTCCAGATTTTTCCCCCCTTCTAATTATTGCCTTTGTCTTGAGCATAGGAAAATTTTGAAGTGAGACAGAAAGGTATCTCAATATACATACTTTCTTCCTGTTTTTGGATATAAAAAATGTTATTTTAAGTGTTTGTATACATTCTTTGGACATCCAGATAACCAAACCAGTAAGGAAAATCCATTCCTTGTTTATGACTTAATTTTAGTGGCTGCTGCCCTTTGCCTTCCATGATAAGTGTGTCTGCTCCTTTATATAGACAGCATTACCTCATGTTCAGGCCTGTAATGTTAAAATTATTTCTTTAAGATGTAAATTGAAGTTTAGTTAATTGGTTATACCTTACTTTGTTCTAAATAATCATACAGTATTGGGCAGCAATTCTGAATTCTAGACCTGTGGCCCATGAATCAACCATTTATGAGGTGTGCTTTGATCATACACTGGGAAGTGCAGGTCGCCTTCTTTGATTTTTATTCAAGTGACTATATCCATAAGAAGATATCTGCTACATAGGAAAACCAGTATTAGGCAAATCACCACCATCCCCCTTAACAGAAGCAAAAAAGGATTTTTTAAAAATCAGTATTGTATTATACAATACAATCCTTCATAACAATGTGAAAACTTCCCATCTTTTTCCTGGATAAGTATATGTTCCTTGACTTGGGTCTTGTGGTCTTCAGGGAAACTGCTCAGAACTTAATGACTCCTCATCAGTGTCCTATTATGTGTAAATAATTAAATGCAGTAAGAATATTTGCGATATTACTGCTTCTGAATATAAGAACTGCAGCATTAAGCCTTAAACATGTATGTACATCAGGTTTAACACGGTTAAGACTCAAACTCAGGGTTGAAAACTTAGTTGGGGTCCTTTACTAAAACAAAAGTGGCATTATGTAGTACATTCCCTCCCACATACAGTTCAGAACCCTGTGAATTCTTCACCACTTATTACCTACTTGCTATCTGTAGATGAGAAAAAGAACTGCAGAGGAGTTTTGAGTTCCCAGCCCTTATCTTTTAAAGACAGCAAAGGCCACATTTCAACATTTTATAGATAATCAGTTGAGGCTGTTTCTTTCTTAATTTTACTTCCTTCAAAGGTTTGTGTCCTTGCTAAGGTTAAGATTTACTTGAGAAAATTCCCCAGAACTTTTTTGAGTTGACATAGCTCTTTTTTTCTTTTTTTCATTATTTCTAGTCTTTTCTCATAGATTTATCATTCACATGTAAACTCTTCCTTAGCCTCATTGTGAAAGACTGCTTGTTACTTTCTCAAATTGCGTCAGGTAGGCTCATACTGAATTAGGTTTTTTAGTTTGAATGAAGAAAATAAGATTAGCCGTTGAAAGATGTGTGGCTTCATTTCCATTTGTATTTGTGATTTGATTATTTTTAGTAAGCAGGGAGTCTCCACATAAAACTACATAGCTGTTGAAAGAAACCTTAGCAAATCACTTGCGGATGTGTTGCAGTCTACCATTAACGTTAACTGTTCTAAATGAATGACTGGGCATAGACATTACCGTAGTTAGACTGTCATTTTAAATACTGCATTTACTGGATGTACCTTTTCATTGTGGTTAGGATACTCCCTATAATTTGATTGTACCTAGTGTACTAACTGAAGGCAAGATGCTCTGAAGAGATGCTTATAAATTTTGAATTTTCTACTTCTTGAAATTTTTTTCAGTTTTTATTTGTTGAATGGATATATAGGTTTAGTTTAATTTTGCTTTCACTGGAAGTTTTAAATTTTGAGAAAATCAAGCAGAAATAGCAATTGATTGCAGATATATATATATATATATATATATGTACCTCATCTTGCAGAAGGGTCAGTGGGGTGGCTTTGTAAAAAAAAGAGAGAGAGAGAAGAGAAGAAGAAAACTAAACTTAGGGAAAAAAACCCTTCTATTTGAGCTACTGTTTAGAAAACGAGAACTCTTACTACATTGCTGATCCAAGTGATGGACACTTGTTGCTCTTCTGTCTAGCCTAGAGGGGAAGTAATGAACAAGGGGATGAGTTACATTTTAAGAATTTTATCAGCTACCATTACAGAAATAGGCTCACTTGGAATTCTTCAGACTATAAAACTGAACAATAACTGGGCTTTAATTTTCCTTTTGCCTAAGTCAACATAGGAAATTTCTCAAATGATCATTTTTTTCAGGAATGAAAGGTCATTGGCCATTAGAGATAGTGGCCTTATTATGCAATAACAACACCTGAGCTGACCTGCTGTCACCTGTAGCATTTAATAATAGAGTGTGATGACCTTCCAGCCCTGGACACTACCTCGATAAAGCAAACCAGAGATCCTCTCTACACTTTCTATGGAAGCCATAAAAGTTGCCATCAATATATCCACTTTCATAGTTCTATACTTTTATACTCTCTAGACTTTTTATAGACTTTATGATGAGATCTTTTTGTCTTAGAGGATAGGTTTTGCAAGATTCAAAGGAAAATCACACTCTTTGGTTATCCCAACTTTGAAGCTTTAGCTTCAGTAAATTTGTTTAAAGAATCAGATAATGTACCTTTTTCAGTCTTCATTTAAGTCAAAACTATTTTGCAGAGTTGCGTATCTGGAAAACAAACTTCTTTTTCTTACTCCCTAAGTAGAAGCTATATTGTTGTAAGAAACTACTTATAAAGTGGATTTCTACCTTTTTAACTCTGTGTATTACTCAATAATATATGTATTGTCACAAGGTTCCTGGAGTTGTTTTTACTTCCTTATGACAGATAAGTGATACACACCTCTCTCTAATCCTCATCTCACTGCAGCTTCAGTCTCTTTCACTCTCTTCTTGAGTGCCTTCAAAAAGCCAGCATCCTGGAACATTCTTTTCCTGGCCTAAATCCTACCTCTGATTGTTTCATTCTCCATGAATATTGGAATTAACCCTTTGGCTCTACAAACTAAAACCTTGGATGAGAATTCCTAACGTACTTCTGTTTTGTTCTCCCATGTCATTTTTAGATTACATTTTCAACTTTTATTTATATCTTATTTCTTCACATATTATAGCTATAATGATGAAAGCGTTTATCTTTATCTTATTTTTCATGTTCTTTTTCTTTCCCCCAAAATTAAATGTTCCTTTAAAATTAAAGGTCATCGAGTCTTTTGAACACCTTTGTCCTCTATAGTCTTCCTGACTGCCTCCCCTTTCTGATGAAGGGATCCCGAATGCTGCTGTGGCCGTGCCCTCTCTCTTCCAGAAACATTTTGCAAGGCTGTACCCCTGATTTTATTTTAGTCAAATTAATTTAAAATTGCCCTCTGAGTTTATCAGAAGTCCTTTGTTGATTTTTGATCTGCCTCTCTCATCCTCCTGTACCTCGAAAACTCCTAGTTAACTCCTTTTCTACCTGTTCTCATCTAATTTAAAAAATATGATTGCTACATAATATATGAAGGATGTAATAAGGGGGTTGCAGTGTGTTCTTGTGCTAGGAGTTCCTTCTCCTTCAAACTAGCAGTTGGCTCATCTCTCACAGCCAAACTGGAGACATGTCTTGTGCAGGTCTCTTGTTCCCTTCCGGTTCTCCTCCAAACCTGCAAACAGAAGTCTTTAAAATGAGGAAATTGGATTGCCTTTTTTTTTAAGTGAACAAAAGCTATTGAGTATTTTGGCCTTAGTCAAAATCTTTTCTTTCTAACTGAAAATGCCTCTTTCCTTAAAATTAATAATACTAATACTCAGGTTTTCAAGACTAACTAATAACCACATGAAGTGGGAGTCTAAGAAGGCAGCTGTTAATAAATTCTTAGTCCTTTTCGTCTGGTGATTGTATGTTATTGGTGGGACAGTTCAAAATGGTGAGAATTGATTATGTTTGATAATGAATAAATCCCAGATATTTGAAGCCTTGATTGGCAATTTGGAGTGGGAAGAAGACCAGTTTACCAAATGCAAAAGGCAGATTTCTCCAGAAATCAGGAACAAGAGTTTGTTGTTTTAAATGCTCTTCTTTTTAATTGGTCGTGGTACTCCCCATTATTGACTTAGAAGTTTACCCAAAGTAACCACTTTGAAATGTGTGGCTTTTTCTTCAGTCCCAGGCAGTGTGACAGTGGAGAGCCACAGTGGGTTCACACCTGAAGGGGCCACATCCCTGAGACAGAGTTGTCTTACTTTATGTCTTCTGTGACAGGAAATGCTTGGCTGGAATCAAGGGGAGCCCTGCTCCCAAGAAGCATCCCCTCTGCTTCCTAGTCCCAGGTTCCTTTCACACTACTTGAGCTTCTCTGGTGAGATCAGGGATGTTACAAATGACTTGAACGTGATTTGAGGACATCAGGAAATAGGGATAGGACAAAAAGGGGAAGAAGCTGAAATTTGCTTAACTTCAGAAGAAAAGATGATACTTGCTTTGGTGGTTTTGATCAACCAAAGAGCCTGTCTCTACTGGATGTGCCAAAGAATCAAGTTGTTTCTGACTATACAGCTCCTCAGAACAAACACAGCTTCCTCCCGACTTGCCTCTTAACAGGTGAAAGATTAGGAAGGAGCCACCCACTTTTCCCCAGACAGTGCTCAAGGCAGTGTCTGATTGCTTTGAAAGTTGGGAGGAAATACTTTATTCTTCTAGAATCTCTAACTCTGCTAGAAGTATCTTTTCTATGCTTGATTATTCAACTCATTAGGTTTTGTAAAGAGTAAGAAACTGTGTGACACAGTTTTGGTGTTTATTTCTAAAGTTGTGTCCGCAAGCATATATATGCAGCCCCTGAAAATTGGATGAATTCTTCTCAATCTTCCATCAGCTTGAATAGGCATTGTGTTCATTCTTGACATGAATTCTGTGCCATCGGCAGTACTGGCTTTGTCCACAAGGGAGCAACAAAGTACTTTAGCTTCTAACCTACTAAAGAAGAGATTCCCCCTTTTAAGTCTTTTAAAGAATATCCTCTCTTGGCTCTGTGCTTATTTACAGAACTTAGTTTTTAAGACATTTTTCCTTATTATTCAGTACAGTAGTTACTCAGCCTTCGTGATGCAAGCACAGTGATTTGTGGGTCAGGCATCTGTATTAATCAGCCTTTAAGTCATGGTGCCTGAAATTGAAAGCCAGGACCCTCTGCAGGGAGATTTATTGTGTGTTAAATACAGAGCAGGAAGGTGACCCACCTCATTTCTTTCCTTCCCATCCACTGCCTGAGCAGAACCAGCACATCTCTGTGAAGGACGAGAGCCGCAGGGGAAGTGGGAGTGGGGAAGTGCTTCATGCCGTCTCTGACAGACAGATGGATGTCTGTCACAGCAGGGAGCAGGTTGGACACCCCTGCCCATGTGCAGCCCCTGCAGCCACCACTCCTCCAGGTTAGAATGGACTTTGGGTTCCCTCTCTGTCAGTTACTTGTTGAGGGCTCGAACCCTCGTCAGCTCTCTCACTATGCCTGTTGTTTGTGCTCACTGCTGCGCCCTCTTCACAATAAGCAGGTCAGTAACCGATTAGGGGAAACTCCGGACCTTCACCTTTCACTCTGTAGAGCCCAGAGGGATTCACACCTGGAAAGGCCATCTTAGCTGATGTCTGCCTGGCTTCTCTCCCCATCCAGGTCTGACCTGAGCAGTGCAGGTGTCTGCTTGTAACTCCAACACTTGACAAGAAGTGAAACTGAAGCTGTGATCGGTTTAGGTAGCAAGTGGCCAGGTGTGACTTGTTTGTTTTTATTTTTGTTTTCCCCCAATAGTACTGAAATCACTTGCACTTTTCCTCATTTCCTAAAGAAAAGAAAATCCAATTTGCTTGCCAGGAATTGTTTAGCGTTAGGTTTACAAAGCTCGTTATTGAATGTTGAACATTTGTCCAAAGGAGTTTGACAAAACAGAAGCTGCTTGGTCCCTGTTCTGCCTGCTAGGTCATAAGGATTCAGGCCACGTTGCTGGGGTACTTGCGCCAAGTCCAGAGGGGGGCAGTGTTCCCCCTTCCTCTGGGAAGCCGCATTGGAAGGTGGAATTAGCATCATGTGGGACAGGTACCTCTCCTGCTGCACAGAAGTTTAAAGGAGTCTAATCAGTAGGGGAGGTAACAGGGAGGTAGGACAGGGTCTCTTCCATGGGAGAGGCACGGGGGGAGAGAGGAGAGCGGCTGGGCCCCGGGGACTGGCAGCGAGGCGAACCTGAGCTTCCCTCCTGAATCTCCAAAGTAGCCACGCTCCCCTGAGTCACCTTTTATCTCACATCCTGTCAGATCCCCCAACGTACTGATCTTTCCCTTGTTAACTATACCATTATTATTTTTTTAGCAATTGAAATGCACTTTTTTATTTCAACTCAATCATGATTTTAAGTATAAAAATTTATAGACTGTTAAAACTACTTTTTGTGTATTTTTAACCACTCGATGTAGCATTGTCTATTTTATTCTCATGAGACTCTGGTACAAGATGTGCCGCTTCATGGTGTTTCTGAGACGCTGGACCTTGGATGTGTACGGTAACCCACTTAATGCTGATAATGTTCAAAGTAAACAAACAACAAAAGTAGCCATATCCGCTGTGTGTCTTTCTTCACTTCATGTCTCCCTTGTTCTCCGCTGACAACATTTTGGCACCTCCTTTACTCACTGGGCTGCCTTTTTTCTGTGAAATGGACACTTCTGATCTGCTGTTGTCAGCTGTCCTTGGCCCAGGTAAGGAGCTGCCCAGCGCACGGCCCTGCTGGCCACTTTATGAAGGACAACGTGTTTTCAAGACCATCAGCTAGGTTAGAGTAACTGGTCCTCTTCACTGCCTGGGTCGAAAAATGGGCTGTGTTTTGAACCTGCTTGAGGAAATATTAGCCCAGAGGGGAACAGTTCACAAAATACAGTCCGTGAAAGCAGAGACTGTAAAATAAGGCAGTTGGGATGAGGTTCCTTCTCCCCTGCCCCCGTTCATTCATCTGCCACTTGTTTCTTCCCAGATGTTACCAAGTGCCTGATAGTGCTGGGCACTGACCTGTCCACTGGGGTCCGGCGGTGACCAAGTCAGAGTCCCCACTTGCGCGTCAGTCCCAGTGGCGGAGACAGGACAACAAACACATGTCAGGAGGTCTGGTCCCCGCTGAGCCTTGCCCTCCGAGCTTCCCTGGAGCTGGAAGACAGACTGCCTCTGTCACAGCCTCCCCAGCTCATGACCCAGCCCACTGTGTTCCACCCAGGGAAGCCAGCAAGGAAGGTGAGCCCCCAGCAAGGAAATCTCACTGTTCAAGTTTCCCTTTGTGTAAGAGCCCTTATACTGGAACAAAACTGCTCAAATCATGGAATTACCACTCTTACTCTCAGGCATCTAGTATCTCTGACTAGACACAAATGCTGTCACTTCTTTCTTCATGGGGACAGTGCAGCTCCTCGCCGTGTCTAGCTAAGAAAGGCATCTCCCTGGTACACGGCTATGCTGTGTACACATGGGCATGCACACAGGCACATCTACAGAAGAGAATTTAAAATTCAAGGAAAATATCTTTGTGCTACACTTATTTTCTATTTTTTTCACAGCTACTGATTGCTAACTGCTAAATTAATTTTAAGACCCACTAGTGAATCCTGCCCACTGTTTGGAGAATCCTATTCTGAAGCAGTTTAGACTTGAATTATTTTATCCCAACAGTAGCCTGCATGCTATTTCTTACAGAGCCAGGTGGTTTTACTAGATCTCCCAACATCTCCAGTCTCACATGTTTCTATTTCTGACTGGGCTTAAGCTCTGAGTTGTGCTCCCTGCACAGAGGAGCCATAATTTGCTCCAACAGAGACCACTCAAATGGCAGGTGCTGCGGTCCTTTCTCCTGGGACCCATCACCCAGTGCCAGCACCAAGGTAATTAGAAGACCTTGAAATTTAAACTCCCTCTTCAAGACCTCCTGGTAATTATGATAATGATTGGGGCGGGGGAGGGGGGGGTCACACAACTTGTGTCCCGCACTTTTGTGTGGATCTTTGTTGTTCTTCTCAGTAAAAGGTGTGGCCATTTTCTCCTCCCTTGGATCTGGACTGATCTTGTGAATGTGGCAAAAATGATGTGTCAGCTTCTGGAGCTGATGCCTCCAAGATGTCTTACAGCTTCTGTCATTACTCTCTTGAAATGTGCCAAGTGAAGAAGCTTAGACTAGGCCCCCGAATGATGAGATTGGCTGCATGGAGAGAGGCCTCAGCTGTCCCTGCACCGGCACCAGAGCTGTGTGAGGACATCTCACACCCTCCAACGTAGCTGGCCTCCAGCTAAGTGCATGCACCGAGTCCCACTGAGACTAGGAGAACATGCCCCACACCCCACAGCATCACTGGGACTAAACCATTATTATTAGCCACCAAGATTTGGGGTAGTTGGTTACACATCAGTTACTAACTTGGAAGCATCTTCAGATTGGTCTAGTGATCACTAGGTGTTTATGACTTTGCACAGTACCTTATACAAGAAGCTTAACATTCTGGGCCATAACTGAGTAACAGTTTTAGCTCTTTCTTCTAGGTCCCTGCTACCTCTATATCCAGTCCATCCTTAACAACTCTAAACTGGAAAGAAAGGGGACCACATGTCCACACCTGGTTTCATCACCAACACAAGCATTTCAGATTCTACCACCCAACCTGTCCTTCTGAGTTCCAACCTTATTCCTAAGTCTTTGAGTTAAGAAGTGCCTGGTTTTAGAGCCTGCTGACCAGAAGACCTCAGCCACAGCCCCTACAATGGAACCAAACTCTTTGCCTTCCATGTTCTGCAACAACTCTGTTCCTTCCCACGATGTCATTGAGGGAGAGCAAAAGAGAAGACGCACACAGGCTTGTTCACAGACAAACCTGGCCCCATCTTTTCTTTCCCACATCATCATTTGTGTGGCTATGAGCAAGTTATTTAACCATTCTAAGCCAGTTTTCACATCTGCAAAAAGGGATATTAATAGCAACTCCCCAGGGCCTCCCTAGAGGCGCCGCAGGGTTAAAGTCTCAGCACTATCAAGCTATCTCCAGCCACAGAGTTTGATCCCCAGCCAGGGAGCTAACCACAGGGCGCAGCAGACCTCTCCTTCCTTGCCCGCTGCTCCCCTCAGCAGTGTATTTCGGTAGATCTGCCTGTTCTGCTCCCCATGCTGTCTCTGGTGAATCCTCTCACCCCCCTGCACCTCTTGCCTACACCCCAGTTCTTGTATGCATAAATAAATAAATCTTTTTAAAAAATAGCAATTCTCTTAAGGTGATTGTGAGGATTAAATAAAGCAATGCAGGGGAAGTGAGGCTCTGTGTTTGGCAGGTAGTACTTGTGACAGGCAGCCCTCAGATGGTCTCCAAAGACTCCCCCTGCACCCCACTTCTGGTATGCACACTCCTATGTAATCCTCTCTGCTTTATTTGGGCCCAACTCAGAGACTTGCTTCTAAGGAATAGAATATAGCAGAAGTGACACGTGTCACCTCCAAGATTGTTACCAAAAGACTTTCTTGGGTGCAGTCTTGCTCTCTGGTTACCAGCAGCCTTGTCATGAAAACATTAGGGCGGACTTTGGAGGACATAACCAGGAGCAAAGCCTGCCAGCAGCCACGTGCATGAACTTGTGGGTCTCCCAAGGCCCACCAACAGCTACATGAATGAGCTAGGAAGTGGGTGGGCTTTCCAGCACAGCAGGGTCTCAGGTGACGGTGGCCCAAGGTTGAGGGTGACTTCCCGAGAAACCGTGAACCAGAGACACCCGTCTAAGCCGAACTCAGATTCATGAGCAACAGAAACTACAGGGTAGTAAGTGTAGTCTTCAGCTACTAAGTTTAGGGATAAATTGTTGTGCCATAATAGACGAGTGCAAAGTACAAATATGAGCTATTAGACTTAGAAAAAGTGATCAGTGTAGAGGACACAGGGCTTTGCCAGCCAGATTGCCCCTCAGGGCGCAGGCGCTCATCCTCCCAGCTGCTCCAGTATGGGTGCCAAAGCTCTCAGCCCAGTCCCTCCCCAGGGACTGCTCTCAGCTGGAGGGAGCCACTTCCCCCAAGGCCAAGCCTCCTCCCCTCTGAGGGCTGCTTCTGTCCAAAGACAGCAGAGGCCTAGAGACCAGGAGCTGCTGCCTCAGGGAGGACAGTCTTGAGCCATCAGCCTTTCCTGAGCTCCCTGTGAGATCAGCTGAGGCCTTGGTTGTGAGTGTGTCACAGTTCAACCCTGTGCCCAACTTGATCTCTTTCTAGCCCCATGTCTGGAAGACACTCCAGGTTTTCATTTGAAAGTCAATTTATTGGGTTGTCAGAAAAGTCATGATGTAGTTTTTCTATGTTTTTATTGCAAAAATGCATCACGACTATTCTGACCTGATCTAGTACAGTGGCTCAGGGTAGCAGACTCTAAACTGGGTTTTGCAACCTCTCTGGGCAACTGGTAATGAAGACCCCATGCCAGTGTTGAGTGGAACTGATACTCCTGTCCTACTGAAGGGGTGCAGTGGTTAAGCTTTCACTAGTGGTGAACCCACAGAAGGCAATGCATTTGGGAGGGGAGGGGTAAAATGTCACAGGCTTCTGAGGGGCTGGGGGAAGTGCTAATCCTAAAGACTGGGCTCTGAAGGCTCTGGGTGGGTGCTTTTGGTGTATCAGGGAAGGATAGTGAGAGGCCGAGGGCGTTTCATCACCAACAGGGCGCAAGTGTGGAAGTCAGGGGGGCCTTGTGTGGTAAAAACCCACTACATTTGTGATACATGCAGTGCAACCGTAGAAAAGTAAAACATGTGCGTGTCTCGAAGGAGGGTCCCATTAGAATTACCTCAAAATGTGGGGATGGTTTTGGAATGGGGCAGTGGAAGGAGGCCGGAAGAATTTTGAGAAGCATGATAGAAAAAGCCTCGGTTGCCTTGAACAGACCTTTAGTAGAAGTAAGTACCTAAAAGATGCTGCTCGCCAGAGGAACATGAGGAAAACAACAGAGAGACCCTAAACCGCCCCAGAGAAAACTTTAGTCTCCATGAACAGACATTCAGGAGAGGCCTGGACTATTTTTTTTTTTTTTAAGATTTATTTATGCATACAAGAGCTGGGGTACAGGCCAGAGATGCGGGGGCGTGAGGGGATTCACCAGAGACAGAGTGGGGAACAGAACAGGCAGACCGACGAAATACACTGCTGAGGGGAGCAGCGGGCAAGTCAGGAGAGGTCTGCAGCGCCATGTAGATTGCTCCCTGTCCCGCAGGGAATCGAACTCATGCTGCAGAGGCTGCGGATTGCTTCATAGTGTGGTGCTTAACCCCTTGCTCCACCAGGGAGGCCCCAGAGGCCTGGACTTTTAAGACTTTAACAGTGAGGGCTCAGGAGGTGGTGAGGACTCAGATGCTAGAAACTGGAGGGAGGACAGTTTGTATATTAAGGCAGCAGAGAACTGAGCAGGTGGTGTCTGAACTACGTGAGAAACAGAATTTACAAGCAGTGACCCTAGATATTTTGCAGAGTAGATTTTCGAGGCAAAGTCTGGCTTCTTTTTGCTATTTATAGTAAGAGACAAGAGGAAAGAAAGAAATTTAAGGAAGAACTATTCAACAAAAAGTAACCAGGATTTGACGATTTGGACCATTTGTCAGCCTATCTGGATTGCAAAAGATACTAAAATTCAGAAGTGGCTGCCAAAAACTGACCTAGAGAAAAATCCAGGTCTGTGGCTGTACAGCCTTTAGCTAGAACCTCAGAAAGACCCAAAGGTTGGTCACAAGAGATTCAGAGTTGTGTTTGTTTGC